TGATATCTCATGGTGATTTTAATTTGCGCTTCCATAATGGTTAACAATGCTAAACATCTTTGCATGTGCTTGTTTGTCATTTGTGTTTCCTACTTGGTGAAATAATTGTTCATGTCCTTTGTCCATTTTCTAATTGAATTTTTTTTACCATTTAGTTTTGAGATTTCTTTATACAATCTAGATCCAGATCTCTTGTCTCAAATATGGTTTGCAAATACTTTCCTCTAATTCATAGATTGCCTTTTCCTCCTCTTAACAGGATGTTTCACAGAGCAAAAGTTTTAGTTTTGTTGAAATCTCATCTTTCATTGTTTTCTTTAGTGGATCGTGCTTTTGTTGTCATATGTAAGAACTCTTCACTGGCCCTAGATCCTTGTACTGGTTTCCTAAGGTTGCCATAGCAAAGCACCACGAATTTAGTGACAAAAAACCAGAAATTTATTTTCACCTCCTACTGTGGGCAGACTAGACATTAATTATTTTAATGTATGTTATTCCTATCACATCTTTTTGAATATAATAATTATAGTTATTCTTAAGCTTCCCCCTTTTTTCTATTAGCTTTGTTTCCTTGGGTGTCACTTCTTTTTTTTTGACATTGTGACCTATGCCAGATCATGTCGATTAGTACTTAGCCGTCCATTCACCTCTCCATAATCCCTTTTGTATTCCTGGAGCTTGATGCCTAAAATGACACATCCTACATTCCTTTGTCAGATGGGTACCAGTTAGCTTGTTCTCATGGGAGACAACCATGAACAGATTGAAGTGGGGAAGAAGAGAGGAGCTCTTGTGTTTCAGTGGGTGCCCCTGGCAACGGCGGTGACAGTGGCTCCTGTTCAGTGGCAATGGTGGAGCAGCTAGCGAGACACGCAGTAAGCGCAGGCTCATAGGCTGTGGCCTAGGGACAGTCACCGATTCCTGGTCTTTAGGCAATGCCATCTCTCTTTGTTTCTCTAGCCTTTCTAAAATTATTGTAACAAATCCCTTGCCTAGTACAATTTTTTAGTATCGGGAGTGGTCCAAGGACACAGGCTTTAAAAAGTATGAATGCAGGGGTGCCTGCCTGCATTGGCTGGGCTTGAATCATGATGGCCTTCTGGCTGGTGGCAGGAGGTGACAGTCCAAAGCATGCAATAGTAAACTAGATACTAAATTATCATCTGAGGTACTTTGGAGGAAGTACAGCTGTAGCTATGTCTTCAGAAGAGATAAAGAAATATTCTCCTGGCCAGGAGTGGTGGCTCACACCTATAATCCCAGCACTTTGAGGGACTGAGGCGGGCAGATCACCTGAGGTCGGGAGTTCGAGACCAGCCTGACCAACATGGAGAAACCCCGTCTCTACTAAAAATACAAAATTAGCCAGGCGTGGTGGCACATGCCCATAATCCCAGCTACTCGGGAGGCTGAGGCAGAAGAATTGCTTGAACCAGAGAGGCAGAGGTTGTGGTGAGCCGAGATCATGCCATTGTACTCCAGCCTGGGTAACAAGAGTGAAACTCCATCCATCTCAAAAAAAAAAAAAAAAAAATTAGATTTAAAAAGTGATATACATCTCAAAAAAAAAAAAAAAAAAAAAGAAAAAAAGAAAAAAAAAGTTCTCGTTTCTTGCCATTTCTAGGGGTTTGGGGATTGCGTACATTGCTGCAGGACATGCTCACTCTACCATCTTGCTCCAATCTTTATTTTTCAAAATACAGTGCTTATGCTTGGTTACTTCAGTTAAGATTATTTTTGGCAGGGCGCGGTGGCTCACACCTGTAATCCCAGCACTTTGGGAAATCGAGGCGGGTGGATCACGAGGTCTGGAAATCGAGACCATCCTGGCTAACACGGTGAAACTCTATCTCTACTGAAAATACAAAACATTAGCTGGGAGTGGTGGTGGGCGCCTGTAGTCCTAGCTACTCAGGAGGCTGAGGCAGAAGAATGGCGTGAACCCAGGAGGCGGAGGTTGCAGTGAGCCGAGATCTCGCCACTGTACTTCAGCCTGGGGGACAGAGTGAGACTCTGTCTCAGAAAAAAAAAAGAAAGAAAAAAAAGATTATTTTAAAAAATCATAATTAGGCAAAAATATATGGCAATACTTAACCATACTTAAGATAAACTAAGCAATTTGGTCTGTTTCAGTATCCCAACTCACATGCTAACAGGGGCTTGACCTGTAGCTACAGTACCCCGGAGGAAATGATTGCATTTATTTGGTTATTTTGGTCTAGGTAGTAATAATTCTGTCCTGGGAAAAAGACTAGCCTCAAGGCATTTCTGATTGAACGTTTTTCAATTACAGTCTTTAAACCAGTATGCCACAGAACTGCTTCTTTCCACATGACGGCCTTTGTGGTGGATGGCAGATTTCCCTGAGGCCTCACAAAATGCTAGGCTTTCACAATGTCGCTGACCGACAGCCAGGCCCAGCACAGTCTCGATGGGATTGTGGGGCTAAAGTTATTCCACCTTGTGCAATAGCTAAAGCTTTCTCTAACCAGCTCCTTTCTTATGAGGTTAGAAGAAAAAAATTTTTTTTTTTTGAGATGGATTCTTGCTCTGTCACCCAGATTGGAGTGCGCGATCTCCAGCTCACCACAACTTCCGCCTCCCGGGTTCAAACGATTCTAATGCCTCAGCCCCCCGAGTGGCTGGGATTACGAGTGCCTGCCACCATACCCGGCTAATGTTTTTTTTGTATTTTTAGTGGAGACGGGGTTTCACCATGTTGGTCAGGCTGGTCTCAAACTCCTGACCTCAAGTGATCTGCCCGCCTCAGCCTCCCAAAATGCTGGGATTACAGGCATGAGCTACTGTGTCCGGCCAAAGAAAATACTTTTTATGCCAGCCCTGAAACTACCCTGAAGCACGTACATCAACCTTGAGGCCTCACAGTCCATCAGGAGGGGTGAAGGACATGAGGAATTAGAAAGCATAGGGATTTTGTAGTTAGACAGATCTGGTTCAAATCCTAGACTTGTGCCTTGAACAAATTACTTACCCTCATTGAACTCTAGATTCCTTATTTGTAAAATGAAAGACAATAATAGTTATCTCCAAAGGAAAGTTGAATATGATCATTCATTTATTCATTAATTCAACATTTATTATTGCCTACTTTGTGCCAGGTTCTGTTCTAGGAACTAAGGGATACAACTTTGAATAGGCAAAATCTCTGCTCTTCTGAAGTTTATTTTTTTTTTTTTTTTGAGACAGAGTTTCACTCTTGTCACCCAGGCTGGAGCGCAATGGTGCACTTGGCTCACTGCAACCTCTACCTTCTGGGTTCAAGTGATTCTCCTGTCTCAGCCTCCCAAGTAGCTGGGACTACAGGCATGTGCCACCACGCCCGGCTATTTTTGCATTTTTAGTAGAGATGGAGTTTCACCATGTTGGCCAGTCTGGTCTCAAACTCTTGACTTCAGGTGATCTGCCTGTCTCGGCCTCCCAAAGTGCTGGCATTACAGGCATGAGCCACTGCACCTGACCTGAAGTTTACGTTCTAATAAGTAGCAACAGACAGTAACATAAACCAAAAATAAATAGGAAAACACCATAACAAAATAAAGCAGTGATATAATTGAGAATTGCTTCTATTTCTCTTTGTTGTCTTCTTGGTTTAGTCAGCCTGCTAAACTATATGGAACCTCATTTTCATGGGCCACTTATCTAAGCCAGGGGACCTTGGAAAGTCTCTCGTGTCTCTAATCTCAATGGCCTAATGTGACTTCTCTTGAAATATTTGGACATTAGCAGGAAGCCAAGGCTTTAGATCAGATCTTTGCTTTTCTTTAATGGTGGACTTGACTTTACTGGTTGAATTTTAGGTGCTCTGTGGACTGTGGAGATGACATTTGGGGGGCAGACAGACACTTGTCCTGCCTCTGTCTGAGAAAATTCTGTTTTGGATGTCTTGTTGAAGTTGTTACTGACATCCTAAGCGCTTGCTGGGGTCATAATTTAATTCATCAGAATGTGTGGCTTGCAAGAACCGGCTCAGATCCTGCCCTTCAAAAACAAAACATGAGTGTGCCAAGGAAGTCCGAGGTGTTGAATGTTGCCACTTCAAGCCTAAACTTTCTAGGAACACCTAAGTGGGAGGCAGCTTCCAGTTCTCTAGGCCGCTTCTAGGCCAGAGCTGGGTTCCACAAGAGGCAGAATAGGCATATCTATGCTTAAGGAACTGGCAAAACAGGCTCTCTGTCTCTTTGTCTCTCTGTGTCTCACACACACACACACACACACACACACACGCGCGCACACCCCAAGGTAGCTGTCAAAATCTTATCCTGAATTTTGGAACCAAAAAATCTTGAAAGATGGTATTCCAATATCACATTTTATGTAAGTTTTCTATTATATTAGATTCAAATTGCGATTTGAGGCCACAGGCTTTTAGAATTCAGGGCGTTTTTAACGTGCCAAGCCCCACACCACTCCAGGAACTTCCCCACAGCCCAGGTCTCAGAATTCATACACAAGGTCTTTCCTAAATCTAGGGTCCAGGCCAGAGAGTGGAGGATGTGCTCTATGTCTTACCCGATTGCAGACCCTTTGAGAGTGCTCCCTTCTGAAGCACTCACTGTCTAAACTTGCGCAGTCTCACACTTAATTACGCACAGTGGGCAGGACTGCGATGTGGTCATTGGTCTCCTGACTTATTTTAGGGCAAATCTATGGGCGGGGGAGGCTTCCTGGACCACTGAGCAATTCATTTACATTAGGATGTTTCTCTGTCAGTTGCAGGAAAAAAAATCTTGTTTTCGTGCTGTGGTTTTGACCTTTGCCTCATCTTCTGTTGCTGTTGTAGGAGGCAAAATAAGGATCAAGGCCTGGAGACACAAGTGTTTTGACTGAAGCTCCACTTGGCTTCCCAAGCCCAAGCTGGGTTGCACCAGGTTCCCTAGGGTGGAGGCTGTGGGCAGCTGCCAGGGACATGTGCCTGCCCACCGGCCTCTGGCCCTCACTAAGCTGGCCAATGGGAAAGGACAATTGTGAGGTGGGGACTGCCTGCCCCCATGAGTACCAGGCTGTTGAGGCTGGGCCATCTCCTCCTCACTTCCATTCTGACTGCAGTCTGTGGTTCTGATTCCATACCAGAGGGTAAGAGCAATTCTGTGAAGTTGCAGGCTGGGTGAAGGGTGCGTGCATAGCCTCTGTCTGGGATCACCCAGGCTTTCCTGTCCATAGCAGTGTGGGAGTGGATGTAGGTGGATACTCTGGTCAGAGCAGCACTGGTGGAGGCAGATATGCACTGGGCTTCTTCCTCAATTCTCCCACAACCCCAAGAGAGAAAGGGTTATTTCAGGCATTCCTTCTAAGATGCCTGGAACCATTCTGAATTTTTTCCAGTTCTCTCTGTGGCAGGATACCTATTGAGGAAAAGTTAGGGTCAGTGAGGTGGGAGGGTTTGTCCACAGATGAAGTCCAATTTGATTAAGGGGGATAAGGGAATACATTGCCTCTTAGCTTGACCAGGTAAGGCAAAGGAAGAAGCATATGTGAAGGCAGCTTGAGAAAAGTCAAGCTGAGTGCTGACTTCAGGCCGGAATTTGGAATCCAGCTCTGCCACTTTATTCTATTCAGCAAATATTTACTGAGCAGATCCTATGGTCCAGACAGTGGGTTGGGTTCACAAGATACAATGATGAGTGTGACATGGTTGTTGTCTATAGATTTGGGGATATCTGTAGGTATGGGGATATCTTACAAGGTAATCAAGAGGTTCTAATGAGGCCAGGCATGGTGACTCACACCTGTAATCCCAGCACTTTGGGAGACCGAGGCGGGCGGATCACCTGAGGTCAGTAGTTCCAGACTAGCCTGGCCAACATGGTGAAACCCCGCCTCCACTAAAAATACAAAAATAGCCGGGTGTGGTGGCAGGTGCCTGTAATCCCAGCTACTCGGGAGGCTGAGGCAGGAGAATTGCCTGAACCTGGGAGGCGGAGGTCACAGTGAGGCGAGATCCTGCCACTGCATTCAAGCCTGGGTGACAGAGCGAGACTTTGTGTCAAGAAAGAGAGAAAGAAAGAGAGAAAGAGAGAGAGAGAGCAAGGAAGGAAGGAAGGAAGGAAGGAAGGAAGGAAGGAAGGAAGGAAGGAAGGAAGGAAGGTTGGTTCTAATGAGATAAAATGAGAAGAGCCTGGCATATAGTTGGAACTGATGAAAAATAATTAAAAAAACATTTTCTGACAGAAGAAACTGGATCTACCTGGTTTTTGTGCAGCCTAATCCTGGTCACCCCAGGGAGTGCTGTTTCTGAGGCATCCTGGTGGTTTGAGCTATAGATGCTGAAGGTCAGAGTGGGAGGGATTTTACAGGTTAGATGTCAGCCTCTCTTGTGTTAGAGGACGTGGATCCCTGGTCTGGAGAGGTTCTGGTTTTTAGATGAAGCCTCGCAAAGGGCGGCACCACCTCACTCCTAGGGACTCCGCTAGAAGGAAGGCCAGCTCTGCCTAATTCAGTTGGGGAGACGGGGGTCCCTTTATGCTAACAGAATATGTCGGAAGGAGCATGATGGTGTCAGCTTGGTTCAGGAGGGCCAGTGGTACACAGGGAGTCCTGCAGCTTCCCTAGCAGTCCCTGCTGCCACTCTTCCTTAAGTCTTGAGGAGTTTTTTGGGCATAATCTAGGCTCACTGCAACTTCTACCTCCCGGGTTCAAGCGATTCTCCTGCCTCAGTCTCCCAAGTAGCTGAGACTACAGGCATGCGCCACCATGCCCAGCTAATTTTTGTATTTTTAGTAGCGACGGGGTTTCACCATGTTGGCCAGGATGGTCTCGATCTCTTGACCTCATGTTCCACCTGCCTTGGCCTCCCAAAGTGCTGGTATTACAGGCGTGAGCCACTGTACCCAGCTGAGGAGTCTTAAGCTGAGATCACAGCATTGCACTCCAGCCTGGGTAAAAAGAGCAAAATTACATCTCAAAAAAAAAAAGAGTAGACACAAGACTGGCTCCTTTTTTTTTTTTTTTTTCTGGGACAGGGTCTCACTCTGTCACCCAGGCTAGAGTGCAGTGGTGCAATCACAGCTCACTGCAGCCTCAATTTCCTGGGCTCAAGTGACCCTCCCATCTAAGCCTCCTGAGTAGCTAGGACTACAGGTGTGTGCCACCATGCCTGCCTAATTTTTAAAAATGTTTTGTAGAGACAGGATCTCACTATGTTGGCTGGGCTGGCCTCAAATTCCTGGGCTCAGCAGTCTTCCCATCTCAGCCTCCCAAAGGGCTGGGATTATATCCTTGCTCTTTTTAAGGTGGCTGTAGGGACAAACTTTCCACCTACTCCTTGTCAAGCCAGTGGACCGGTGGTCCCAGACATACGGCTAAAGTCAAGAGGTGATGTCTTTTGGAGAGTAGATGCTTTCAATCAGGAATTTCCATCAGAAACTCCATCATGTGGAGAGAGACTTATCCTAAAAATGTGGTGGTGGGGGACGCTCTGTTTTATTAGTTCCTTGAGAGTACGTGTGTGTGTGTGTGTGTGCGCTCATGTGGAAGGGTGTGTATGTGTGTGTGGGGGCGGTGCATATGTGTGTGGATGTGTGGATGTGGTGTGTGGGTGTGCACGTGCGTAGGTGGAGGTGTGTGTATGGGGGCGGGTATGTGTGTGTGTTGGGCATGGAGATATTGACAGCTCTCCCAGGGCTGAGTGAAGGCTTTCGGGCAAATCTCCTGGTAGCTAGGCAAAGCTGAGTTGATTCCTGGTTATGCCATTTATTATAGGGTTGCACTGTGAGAAACTGCCAATATTCTACACTTTGACTTTTATTTATTCTTATTTTTATTTTTATTTTTTTTTGAGACAGAGTTTCACTCTTGTCGCCTACGCTGGAGTGCAGTGGCGCAATCTCGGCTCACTGCAACCTCTGCCTCATGGGTTCAAGTGATTCTCCTGCCTCAGCCTCCCAAGTAGCTGGAATTACAGGCGCCCGCCACCATGCCCGACTAATTTTTGTGTTTTTAGTAGAGACGGGGTTTCACCATGTTGGCCAGGCTGGTCTGAAACTCCTGACGTCAGGTGATCCACCCACCTTGGCCTCCCAAAATGCTGGGATTACAGGCATGAGTCACTGTGCCCATCCTATTTTGACTTTTAAAAATGGGAGTTTGATATAATTCAATCCAGTGGTTGAATTAGCTAGCATCTTTCTCTCTCCAAGTCTCAGATTCTCCTACATGTTAGAGTCAAAAGCAGGGCTATGGGAAGATTAAGTAAAATCAATTTTGAAAATGCCTTATGAAAATTACACTCCAAGGAACTCGCGCCAGCGTCAGTTTTTCATGTTCCTCATCTCACATGATCACATTTAGTGGATTAGGAAGCTGAGTCTGAGAAGCTCCGTGTAATGCTTTCGGAGGCCCTGTGACGTGATGGAAAGCTCACTGGTTTGGAAGTCAGAACGGAGTCTCTCAGGGATTGCGTTTCCTTAATCTGTCAGTTTCCTCATCTCTAAAGTTGGGGTCATTTCCTTCCTTCATGGAGTTATTGTAAAGATGAAAATCAATAATGTGTAAAATCTAGCATGGGAGCTGGCTTCTATAAGGTTCTAATAAGTGCATTCCTACTCCTTCCCCTCAGCCTTCCCATTTGTAAAAGCAAGGCTGGAGGGAAGTGATTTTGGGGGCCCCTTTTGACTCTGACATTTGAGGATTTTGTATGCTTTGTTTTGAGACAGAGTCTTGCTCTGTCACCCAGGCTGGGGTGCAGCTCACCTCAAATTCCACCTCCCAGGCTCAAGCGATTCTTATGTCTCAACCTCCTGAGTACCTGGGATTACAGGCAGGCGCCATCACCCCCAGCTATTTTGTGTGTGTGTGTGTTTTCAGTAGAGACGGGGTTTTGCCATATTGGCCAGACTGGTCTTGAACTCCTGACTTCATGTGACTCACCCATCTCAGCCTCCCAAAGTGCTGAGATTACAGGTGTGAGCTACTGTGCCTGGTCAATTTTGTGTGCTTTAATGCCCTTTTCTGCTGGAAGAATTGGCGCCAGGTTTGGTGACCTCTTTCCCCCATACAGCTCTGCCTCCTGCCAGTCCCAGAGGGGACCCTGTCCCTGCATTTCGCAGGATTCTGCTGTTGCAACTGAAATTCCAGTAGGTCAAAGTGAAATTTCTCATATATTTTAACATGAAGATAAATGATCACAGTATGGTCGTTGAGGATCCCGAGAACATCATGGTCATCCCCTTGTATAATTTTAACGACAGACGAATCCACGCCTGTGTGAGGTTTGCCAGGAAAGCCAGTTCAGGAGAAAACCAGTACAGCCATTTGGACTTCAGATCTCACCTCTGCCCTCTTTTACTTGATATCTTTGGGCAGAAATTACTGAACCTGTTTGGTCCTCGGATTTCTTCTGTGGGAACTGCGTCCTACCTCCGGGAGCTGTGTGGTCACATTGAGGTTAAAGGGGTGATGGCTGTGTAGCAGTGGTCCATACATATTTGTTTGCTTCCTTTCTCTTCACTTATGTGTGGAGCACTTTATGAGTTTATAAAATACTTCTTCATACTTTCTATCAGTTGGTTCTCACAATGCTATTGTGAAATAGGTTAAATGAGGATTACTGTCCCACATGTATAGGCAAAGAGCATGAAGTTGGGGAGGTTGGATGAAGGCTGGAAATTCACCGTGAGAGTTAGGTGAAGCCTAGACTGGAAGCCAGGTCACTTGCTTCATAATCTGCAAGTTATTTTTTTCTTTTTCTTTTCTTTTTTTTAATTGAGATAGAGTTTTGCTTTTGTTGCACAGGCTGGAGTACAATGGTGCGATCTCAGATCACTGCAACTGCTGCCTCCCAGGTTCAAGCAATTCTCCTGCCTCAGCCTCCCGAGTAGCTGGTATTATAAGCATGCACCACCATGCCTGGCTAATTTTGTGTTTTTAGTAGAGACAGGGTTTCACCATGTTGGTCAGGCTGGTCTCGAACTCCAGACCTCAGGTGATCCTCCCTCCTCGGCCTCCCAAAGTGCTGAGATTACAGTGGAAGTCTTTTTATGCTACTTTTTTCTTGTATCCCTCACCCCATGGGGTGGAATATTGAAAGGCAGGATGTGTGACCACAATACTTTTCTCCTCCTGGACTATGTCTAAGAGTCTGCTATTGGGTTCTGAAGACCAGAGTTTAATTTCCTGTCTCTCAAAATAGTTGTGAGAATTGAACGAGATACCAAGTGAGGAAAGGGTTTTATAAACAGCATTTTCAAAAATTTTAAAAGTCCACAAAATTTTTAGTTTTAATACAGATAAGATAGATCCCTTTATTTTATAAAAAGAAACAAAATTTGTTATTTAACAACTATGTTATTTATTAATTTTGCCTTTTTGTATGCTGCCAGGAAAGAAATATTAAGAAATCTTAAATTGATTATGGTGAATCAGAAGGTCTGCCTGGATTTTTTATTGCTCTAACTGTACAGCTAATCATAAAACCTCAAATTTCTTTTTAATGACATTTCAAGGGTGCACTTAGCTGTGTAACTCCTTCGTTGCCAAAAGCTTTGTCACCAAAAACAATTAAGCAGATTCCTGAGTTACTGAAGGACACATAACAGAGTTGAGACTTAGGAATTTTGGTGCCATGCTAAGTCTACAGGGACACAACAAATAGCATTTTACAAAGGCAAAGAATTGTGACACTTGAGATTTAACTTCTTGATCCATGTAAAAGTTTTCTTTGTAGGCATAATTGAGTTTTAGATCATAGGACTCAATATTACTTAGTAATAATTTTTTTCTGATAGAAATAGAGTGTAACAGGCTGGGCACAGTGGCTCACGCCTATAATCCCAGCACTTTGGGAGGCCGAGGCGGGCAGATCACTTGAGGTCAGGAGTTTGAGACCAGCCCGGCCAACATGGTGAAATCCCATCTCTACTAAAAATACAAAAAATTAGCCAGCTGTGGTTGTGGATGCCTCTAAACCCAGCTACTTGGGAAGCTGAGGCAGGAGGCGCTTGAACCCGGGAGGCGGAGGTTGCAGTTAGCTGAGATGGCGCCACTGCACTCCAGTCTGGCCCACAAAGCGAGACTCCGCCTCAGAAAGAGAGAGAGAGAGAGAGAGAGAAAGGAAGGAAGGAAAGAAGGAAGGAAGGAAAGAAGGAAGGAAGGGAGGGAGGGAGGGAGGGAGGGAAACAAAGTGTAGCAATGGCAATATCTAAAAAAACAGATATTTTTGTATGTTTGTAGTTTTATATATATGACCCCAACTTTAGAGATGAGGAAACTGAGAGATTAAGGAAATGATCGCTGAGAGACTCGGTTCTGACTTCTAAATCAGTGAGCTTTCTATCATATCACGGTGCCTCCGAAAGCATTACGCAGAACTTTCTAGTGTCAGCTTCCTAATCCGCTAAACGGGATCATGTGAGGTGAGGAACATGAGAACGCTGACACTGGTGAGGGTTTCTTGGAGTACAATTTTCATGTGGTATTTTTAAAACTTATTCTACTTAATCTTCCCAAAGCCCTGCTTTTGACTCTAATGTGTAGGAGAACCTGAGACTTGGAGAGGGCAAGATGCTAGCGACAGAGCAAGACTCCGTCTCCAAATAAATAAATAAGTAAAATAAAAAAGAACACAAATAATTCTGAAAGATTTTTTTTTTTTAAATTAGGCATGTTTGCACTGGTCTTCAATTGTTATTAATTGCCGATTTCCCACCCAGAATTAAGTTGGAATGCAACTTTCTTTTTCAAGCAGAGTCCGTTCTTAGTCTTGGAAACTTCCAAGGCTCCTGTGTTCATCCTGCTCTTGTATTTCCAGCACCTCTACCCCATGCCACTGTCATGGAACCTAGGCTGATTGCACCTATTAGTGGAGAAATCTGTCCATAGTACTGAAATGTGGGGACAAAGGGTGTTCCCTTAAGGTAGGAGAAAGGGATCTTTATTTTTATCAAAGGGGGAGGAGCCATTAAACTCCAGAGACCCCTGAGTTTGTCCTCTCTCCAAGGTTTTGGGGTAAGCCCCCATTCACCCTTTATCTCTGGGGCCTTCTTTAGCTGCCTCCACCCGTTCACATATTCTGGATTCTCTCCTCCTATTTCCCAGTGGAAAATGATGGAGCCTCACAGATTCTTCCCGTTTCTGGAGAAAAACACGCATGGAGCTCAAAGTTCTCAGTTTTATTGCCAAAGCCATAATAAGAAAAGGCAGAGGTGACAAGCAGTCAGGAAGTTTAAAGATGCGTGAAATCTTTAAAGTCTCAAAACAAGAATTCTCCTAAAATACAAAAGGGGCTTTGCTGGTCTCTCCTTAGCTTCTCATGTAGCTCACCTCTTTTTTCTTATCTTGAGACTAGTCAGACCTAAGCTGTTTCTCATTTTATTTCCAGCAGCTATTGAGAACACGCTCCTGAACTCTTCAAATTCAGTAGAGGGCGACAAATGTACATATAAATGATAGTAGCGGGTCTTAAATAAAGACTCATGACACCTAAAAGGGCAGCACCTGAGTCTGATTGCACCTGTTTCTATTGCTGTTTCTGTCTCTCTTCTCTCTGTCTGCCATTTCATTCTCAATTGTTACTTTACTTATAAGATCATATTAGAACCTGATATTTGATAAATGATGCATCAGATCTATAGTGAAGGAAAAAATGCAATTAAAGTTGTTGTAACAGCTAGTCTTCAAGTGGGGAGAAATCATTTGAGTACCTTAGGTCACAGCTTACATCAAAACAGAAAATCAGAGCTACATTAAAGAGTGAAACTTTAACTATATCAAACAATAGAAAAAAAACGGAAGAAAATTGAATACTTACTAAATCTTAGCATGAATAACAACTGCTTAACACTTAGAGGCAAGGGCCGGGTGTGGTAGCTTATGCCTTTAATCCCAGCACTTTGGGAGCCCAAGGCAGGAGGATCTCCTGAGGTCTGGAATTTGAGAGTAGCCTGGCCAACATGGTGAAACCCCGTCTCTACTAAAACATGCAAAAATTAGCCAAGTGTGGTGGTGCATGCCTGTAATCTCGGCTACTTGGGAGGCTAAGGCATAAGAATCGCTTGAACCCGGGAGGTGGAGGCTGTAGTGAGCCCAGATTGTGCCACTGCACTTCAGCCTGGGTGACAGAGTGAAACCCTCGCTCAAAAAAAAAAAAAAAAAAAAAAGCAAACTAGAGCTGTCAGGTACCATTATTTCTTTTGCTCACTAAACTGACAACACACACATGTTTTTAATAATACCCAAAGCTAATGAGGGTAGTTAAGGTATGCCCTTTTATACACACTAATGTATAACATACACTGCCATGTGGGGCTATGTTTCAGGAGACTTAAAACTGTACATACCTTTTGGTCCAGTATTTTCCTTCTGGGAATCTGTCATAACAGAATCATAATCTTGGGGAAAGCTATATACCTAAGGATATTTAAAATATTATTTAAAAATCAAAGTATAATTTCTTAAAGAATATAAAATAATATTTAAAAATGAAAATATGCTAAAAGTTTGATGAAATATAAATGGTCGAATATATATTGATTATATCCACTTACTAGACTAGCACTCTGAGACATTACAAATAGTGATTATAAAAACTAGAAAATGACAAGGGAAAAATAGAGGAATAAAGTTTTACATAAAGTGTGATTTCCACTATGTTTAAAAATAAACAGAGACATTCTGGGGGTTTAGGATTGTTTTCTTTTCTGTCATTTCCAAAGAACTACATAACTATTATTTTTAATGAACTATATATGTAATATATACATATAGTTTATATGTATATACAAAGCTTATCTCATGTATTTGATAAAGATGAAAGATGAGTTGGTTGTGCCATGTGAAGAGGGCAGTATAGCGCCCAGGTAATGGAGCATAGGAGTGGGATTCCAGATACCAGGCAAATCACGGTCTTTCTTCCATCCCTCACAGAGGAATAGGTTTGTCTTCAACAAACCTTCAGTTGTCCTGAAGACAAACCTAATTCTGGAGATGTCATATAATCTAGAAGAGACAAGCAAACTGATGAAAAATAGTGAATCTTTAAGGTAAAATAAAGCACATGGACTACGCTTTGTTTAGAATCAGATTCTTGGGATTAGCCACATTAACCCACAGAGGGTCTTAGTGATGCCTCTAATCCAGGATCCTAGGGCCTGTTTCTCTCTGTGAGATGCTTTCTCCCAACTCCTTGGTGAGAGTGGGAAGACTAAGACCTCAGCAATCAGAGCTGGGGGCCTAAGATCCCCCTAAGATCAGAGGCAGACTCTGAGAGGGGACAAAAGTCCCTATACTTGTATTGGGCCCTTTTCTGGGAGGGGGATATTGAAGAATGATTTTGAGACAGGGAGTCCTTTGACTACCTGTGCCACTTGAGTTGTTTGCTAGGGCTCCAGAATACGTATTTCAAATACGTTCCCCACTCCCTCCTTCCTTCCCTCTTCCACTCTTCCTTTTTTCTTCCTTTCTTCTTTTCCTTCCTCCCCTTCCTTTCTCTGGCTCTCTCATGATTTCTTTTCCTCATTATGAAAGTACTTATTTAGTCCTTACTCTGCTATTAGTGTGTTAGTCTTTGCCCCCTGGTACTTGCTGTTTAATGGAGAAATGGGTGAGCGAAACAGAAATTACAGCAGAGTGCAATAGAACGCAATAGAGCTAAGCTAGGTGTATAAATCCATTCTCACACTGCTATGAAAAACTACTTGAGACTGTGTAATTTATAAAGAAAAGAGGTTTAATTGACTCACAGTTCCATAGGTGGTACAGTGGGCATGGCTGGGGAGCCCTCAGATAACTTACAATCATGGTGGAAGAGCGAAGGGGAAGCAAGCACATTATATGGCGGCAGGAGAGAGAGTGAGAGAGAGGAGAGAGAGAGAGAGCACATATAGGGGAAGTGCTACACACTTTCAACCAGATCTTGTGAGAATTCACCTACTATCATGAGAACAGCAAGGGAGAAGTCAGCCTCCATGATTCCATCGCCTCCCACCAGGCCCCTTCTCCAACACATGTCGACATGATATTTGGGTGTGGACACAGACCCAAACCATATTACCAGGGCACTGGAGAAACACAGAGGTGAAAGAACAAACCAAGGAGTGAGATGGAGAAGAAGGAGGACTTCCTGAAAGAGATGACATCTGAACTGGGTCCTGAATAGAGATTAGACAGGAGAGGAGGGGCAGCTAAAGGTGGCCCAGGCAAACAAAGGGCCAGCGGATATGTTCATGGGATGATGTGTCTCTTGTCTGTTTAACTCAAGGTGAGTCTCTCTCTCTCTCTCTCTGTGTATGTGTGTGTGTGTGTGTGTGCAAATGTAATATACCAAATGGTCAAACATGTGCCCCAGGAGAAGGGTAGAGGAAGAAAGAATGAGAGAGTAAGAAGGAGGAATAGACACAGAAAATGAGAGAAAAGAGGGGAAAGGAAAAGAAGAAAGGAGCCAGGGGAGAGAAGCTGGTTAGCACTGATTGGAGCAATCGGTGTCATCGTACTTGGGAAACTCAAGGATGGATTCTTGGCAAGTTGACTCTTGGAGCTTTCCCTGTGCTTGTTCCTGTGCTCAGATATGGAAAAATTAGAGGAGTGTCATCTGTGCAATCACTGAATTCATAATCTTGGTGAGGAAAGGAGACTACACACAGGAATAATGTTAAGTATTACAAATTTGGGGGCAGAAAGAGATCAAGGTGGGCTGCAATATTCAGAAAAGTCTTCCTGAAAGAGTTGAATACTGAGAAAGCAGCTCCTTGAAGTGGACTCTGCTGAGGTGGATGGAGTCCTGTGTAGGTATCAACTGGGTGTGCTGTGTGGGGTCTGTCTCTCCATGGCTGACAGTGCACATGTGGATTCCAGGACTCAGGATGTTGCTGGGAGCTGTTCTACTGCTATTAGCTCTGCCCAGTCATGGCCAGGATACCACAACTCAAGGGCCCGGAGTCCTGCTTCCTCTGCCCAAGGGGGCCTGCACAGGTTGGATGGCAGGCATCCCAGGGCATCCAGGCCATAATGGGGTCCCAGGTCGTGATGGCAGAGATGGCACCCCTGGCGAGAAGGGTGAGAAAGGAGATCCAGGTAAGAATGTTTTTGGCCTCTTTCATCACATACCTCCTTAACTGATAAAAACTACATGAAGGCATTCGTTATTAACTAAGGCCTAGACACAGGGAGAAAGCAAAGCTTTTTTATGTAAACCATAAGCGACTTGAAGTGGATTTGAGATTGGTCTTCCAAGGATGAGAATAGGTGGTGCCTCTATAATGAAGACTTTGACTTTGCTGCATCTGCATGTCCTTTTCCATCCCCTTTCCCATCTTCACCCTCATCCTTATTCCCAATGCATTCATATTCTGATTCCTCTTTCTGTCTAGCTAACTTCTATTCCATCCAGTGGCATTCAACCACATTTACTGCACACCTGCACACCCCCTGAAGGGCACAATCCTGCCTTTGGGGAACTCTTGATCTAGGTAAGATGTTTAATGTGCAAGGCTCTGTTGGTGATTACTACAAGAAAGTCTACTCTAAAATTGTCAAACTGAATGTGAACAAGTATTCAAAGTATGGAGCATAGAGAAAGTGTACTCACCATGGACCTGGATGAAGAATGAAAGCTTCAAGGAGGAAGCAGAGCTTCAACTAGGCCTTGAATGATGGATAGGCAGAATAGAGGAGGAGAGACATCCTAGATGGAGGGGGTAGAATTGCAAAACCAGGGTTGATGGTGCCAGCACAGAAAGGGCTGGCAGGGTGGAGGGTCTATGATAGAGACCTATAGGAGATAAAGATGGAGTTGAATTTATGGGAGCCTGCCTGTCTGTGGGAGATATAGAAGGAGGAGGTAACATCTCTCTCCTTTTGGGAGCTCTTATTGGTTTCTTGCTCTATAAGTCAAGAAGGTTGTGAGTGGGAGCCACAGGGATGGTAATTTAGGCTGTAACCAACCTAGGCAGGAGTTCTGTTCTTTGTGGTCACTGAGGTCTTCTCATTCCTTAGGTCTTATTGGTCCTAAGGGAGACACTGGTGAAACTGGAGTAACCGGGGCTGAAGGTCCCCGAGGCTTTCCGGGAATCCAAGGCAGGAAAGGAGAACCTGGAGAAGGTGCCTATGTATACCGCTCAGCATTCAGTGTGGGATTGGAGACCTACGTTACTGTCCCCAACATGCCCATTCGCTTTACCAAGATCTTCTACAATCAGCAAAACCACTATGATGCCTCCACTGGTAAATTCCACTGCAACATTCCTGGGCTGTACTACTTTGCCTACCACATCACAGTCTATATGAAGGATGTGAAGGTCAGCCTCTTCAAGAAGGACAAGGCTATGCTCTTCACCTATGACCAGTACCAGGAAAATAACGTGGACCAGGCCTCCGGCTCTGTGCTCCTGCATCTGGAGGTGGGCGACCAAGTCTGGCTCCAGGTGTATGGGGAAGGAGAGCGTAATGGACTCTATGCTGATAATGACAATGACTCCACCTTCACAGGCTTTCTTCTCTACCACGACACCAACTGATCACCACTAACTCAGAGCCTTGTCCCAGGCCAAACAGCCCCAAAGTCAATTAAAGGCTTTCAGTACAGTTAGGAGACTATTATCTAGTTGGAGGCCTTTGAATATTATTCATTCGTTCACTCATTCATGTATTCATTCATTCATTAAGTAACTTTAAAAAAACCATATGCTATGTTCCCAGTCCTGGGGAGTTTCAGAAACATGACCAGATAACTGACTAGAAAGAAGCAGTTGACAATGCTCTTTTGTGCCCACTGTTTCTCCCGATGCTCATATCAATCCTGTAAAGCACAGGGAACAAGCTTTCTCCTGTTTTTACAGATTGGGTCCTGAGGCTGAGAGAGTTAAGTGAATATCTAAGGTCACACAAGTATTAAGTGACAGTGCTAGAAATCAAACCCAGAGCTGTGGGCTTTGCTCACTAGACTGTGCCCTTTTCTAGAAGCACGTGGTTTCTTTGGAGTGTTGGTAGGTATCTGTTGCCCACCTCACCTGAGACCCATTGAATTTGCCTTTCCCCTTCTATCTCCCACAGACAGGCAGGCTCCCATAAATTCAGCTCCATCTTTATCTCCTATAGGTCTCTATCATAGACCCTCCACCCTGCCAGCCCTTTCTGTGCTGGCACCATCAACCCTGGTTTTGCAATTCAAAAGGCAAACCTCCTCCAGCAGAGCTCCCTCAGAGAAAGTGGTTCTATGATGAAGTCCTGTCTTGAAAGGACTCAGTGGCCCCTGCACTACTCTACTTTTACCTATGTCCCTTCTCATGCTCTTCCCTCCAACTGGGAAAGCCAACTCCATCTCAACGTGCTGAACTCATCCCTGTTCCTCCAGGCTGCCTGGCCAGGAGCTTCTCTGATGTGATAGCCACTGTTTTTTGTTTTTTTTTTTGAGATGGAGTCTCACTCTATCACCCAGTCTGGAGTACAGTGACATGATCTCAGCTCCCTGCAGCCTGCTTCTCCTGGGTCCAAGCAATTCTGGTGCCTCAGCCTCCCGAGTAGCTGAGACTACAGGCTCACACCACCACACCTGGCTAATTTTTGTATTTTTGGTAGAAATGGGGTTTCGCCATGTTGGCCAGGCTGGTCTGGAACTCCCGGCCTAGGTGATCCACCCACCTAAACCTCCCAAATTGCTGGAATTACAGGTGTGAGCCACCGTGCCCACTCAATATCTCACTTTTTTTTTTTTTTTTTTGCCCTGCATGAGAGTCTGGGGTGTGAGGAACACCTCCCACGAGGCTAGAAGCAACTGCCCAGGAAGGACTGTGCTCCCTCCACCTCTGAATCCCTTGTAAATGCCTCGTGAAGACCAATCTCTTGAATCCCATATCTACCCAGAATTAACTCCATTCCAGTCTCGGCATGTAACCAGTTTTATCCACAGAAACTTTTTCATTTTAGGAAATCCCTGGTTTTAAGTATCCAATCCTCGTTCAGCTGGACAATGTGAATCTTTTCCACTGAAGTTAGGGAGGACTGTGATTTTCAGAACACTTAAAGAATTTTCCATCAAGAAAGTAGCTTGAGCCTGAAATGCAAAACCCATGGAGGAATTTTGAAGCCATTCTTCCCTTGAGTACTAACAGGGTCAGGGAAGACTGGGCCTCCTGAATTTATTCTTGTTCTTTAGGAATTACAGGTTGAGGTAGTTGATGGTGGTAAACATTCTCTCAGGAGACAGTAATTCCGGTGATGCTTTTCAAAGATTTTAGCAAAAACTGAGTTAATAGCATTCTCTATCAATATATTAAAAAACCTATTTTTTTTTTGCTTACAGTTTTAAATTCTGAATAATAATTCTCTCATTTCTGTGTATTGCTAATCATTAAGGTATTATTTTTTCCACATATAAAGCTTTGTCTTTTAAAATGCTTGCATATTATTTTATTTTATTTCTTTCTCTTTCTTTCTTTCCCTTCCTTCCTTCCTTCCTTCCTTCCCCCCTCCCTCCCCCTGTCTCTCTCTCTCTCTCTTTCTTTCTTCCTTCCTTCCTTCCTTCGTTCTTTTTTTTTTTTAGATGGAGTCTCACTCTGTCACCAGGCTGGAATGCAGTGGCTTGATCTTGGCTCACTGCAACCTCCACCTCCCAGGTTTAAGCGACTCTCCTGCCTCAGCGACTCTCCTGCCTCAGCCTTCCGAGTAGCTGGGACTACTGGCACACGCCACCACACCTGGCTAATTTTTGTACTTTTAGTAGAGACAGGGTTTCACCATGTTGGCCAGGATGTTCTCGATCTCCTGACCTCATGATCCGCCCACCTCAGCCTCCCAAAGTGCTGGGATTATAAGCGTGAGCCACTGCGCCCGGCCTCGCATATTATTTTCTACAAGTAAAGATACTATCCAGCATTAAACATAAAAACACTTGCTGCACATCACTTTTTGTGTTTTTCTCTTTGAGATAGAGTCTCACTCTGTCGCCCAGACTAGAGTGCAGTGGCGCAATTTCAGCTCACTGCGATCTTTGCCTCCCAGGTTCAAGCGATTTTCCTGCCTCAGCCTCCTGAGTAGCTAGAACCACAGATGCCTATCACCACGACCAGCTAATTTTTGTATTTTTAGTAGAGACGGAGTTTCATCATGTGGGCCAGGCTGGTCTCGAACTCCTGATCTTATGATCCACCCGCCTCCACTTTTGTTTTTATTTTTTGAGAAAGATAGATATGAGCTTTTCGGAGGGATGAAGAGGTGAGAGTAAGCCTTGTGTTAGTCAGGACTCATGTTGTGAATGTCATTCACAACAGAAAACCCAAAATATTATGCAAACTATTGTAAGCAAGAAAAATAATGGAAAAATGGAAACATTTATTCCTTTGCGTGATAGAAATTACCAGAGTTGTTCTGTCTTTAGATAAGGTTTGAAACAAAGGTTCAGAACAATCAAGACCCTTTTTTGTATGTCCTTCTGCTCTGCCTTCTGCAGTGTAGGCTTTACCCTCAGGCACTACACAGTATAGTTCTAGGGTTTCCCTCCTGATATCAAAAAGGCTGTGGCCTGCCCAGCTCTTGCATCCCCACGCCACACCATCTGGCTAAATGGACATCATGTTTTCTGGTGGTGCCCAAAGAAGAGAGAGGAAGCTCTCTTTCCCAGATGCCCCAGCAAGTATAACCTTGCATCTCATTGGCTCTGGCTGAGTTGTGTGCCTGTCTCTGACCAATCACTGAGTCAGGAGGATGAAATATTCATATCGACTTAATTGCAGTTTAAGCTAGGGGTATGTAGAGGTATTTTCCCTAAAGCAAAATTGGAACACTGTTATCAGAAGTGGGAGAATGGATGATAGAAGCAAAATAATACCTGTCCACAACAAACTCTTAATGCTGTGTTTGAGCTTTCCTGAGTTTCCCAGAGAGACATTGCTGGAAAATTCCTATTGATTTTCTCTAAAATTTCAACAAGTAGCTAATGTCTGGCCATACTCACAGTCTCACATCTGGTTGGGGTGGGCTCCTCATAGAATACGCTTTCACAGTTACCCTAAATTCTCTGGGGCCGGGTTATTCCTTTGTGGAACTAGAGGAACAGAGAGTGTCAACTGAGGCCAAAAGAGGCCTGAGAGAAACTGAGGTCAAGATTTTAGGATTCATGGTCCTGTGATGCTTTGAGATATAATTGTGGATTTGTCCAGTTCTCTTTAGTTCTGTCAGGTTTTGCTTCATATATTTTAGTGCTCTATTGTTAGATACCTACACATTTGCTATTATGTCTTCTTGATGCATTTACTCTCTTATCATTACTTAATGTCCTTTATCTCTGATAATTTTCTGTGTTCTGAAGTCTACTTTGTCTAAAAATAAGACTTTCTTTTCTTTTCAACTTTCTTTTCTTTCTCCTTCCTTCCTTCCTTCCTTCCTTCCTTCCTTCTTTCTTTCCTTCTCTTTTTGAGACAGAGTCTCATTCTGTGGCCCAGGCTGGAATGCAGTGATGTGATCTTGGCTCACTGCAACCTCCTCCATGAGCAATTCTCCTGCCTCAGCCTCCCGAGTAGCTGGGACTACAGGCACATGCCACTGTGCCTGGCTAATTTTTGTATTTTTAGTAGAGATGGGATTTCACCATATTGGTCAGGCTGGTCTCAAACTCCTGACTTTGTGATCCACCCACCTTGGCCTCCCAAAGTGCTGGGATTACAGGCATGAACCACCACGCCCAGCTAACTTTCTTTTGATTAGTGTTTTCACGGTTTATCTTTTTCCATCATGTTACTTTAGATATATCTATATTATTGTATTTAAAATGTGTTTCTTACAGACTGTATGTAGTTGGTATCATTTTTATCCAGTCTAAAAACATCTGTCTTTTAATTGGTGTTCAAACAATTTATACTTAATAAAATTGTTGAATTTAAGATGGATAGCCATTTTATTTGTTTTCTATTCACCACTTCTGTTTTAGTCTCTTTCCAGAATTCTTTTGGATTATTTAAATATTTCATAATATTTTATCTTAATTTATTTATTGGGTTTTTGCCTATAACTCTGTGGTACTTTTTGATGGTTGCTTGAGGGATTACAGTGTACTTAACTTTTCACAGTATACATAGAGTTAATATTTTGCCACTTCCAGTAAACCATAGAAGGCTTATAATCATATTAGTTCTTCTATCCATTTCCTTTTATGTTACAGTCGTCATATATATTACATCTATATACATTGAAACATTATAGGCAATATTATGATTTTTGCATTCAACAGTTATATATATATTTTAAAGAATTTAAGAGGAGAAAAATACTTTGCTTATTAGGATCTTAATCATTTCTTTCATTCTTTATTAATTTCTAATGTTCTATGTTTCTCTCTGGTGTAATTTCTCAACCTGAAAAACTTTATTTAGCATTTATTTTAGAGCAAGTCTGTTGATGATGAATTCTCTTAGTTTTTCTTCATCTGAGAATGCCTTCATCTTTTCTGCATTCCTGAAATATATTTTTGCTGGATATGGAATTCTGAGCGGATAGTTCTTTCTTCTAGCACTTTATTTTATTTAGTTTAATTTTTTTTCAGTGCTTTAAAGATGTTTCTGTCTTCTGGGACCCATGGTGGGTGGGTGGGTGTGTGTGTGTGT